ATCTATGTGTCATCTAGAGGGGTGTGTGTGTGTGTGTGTGTGTGTGTGTGTGTGTGTAGTTATGCAAATACAAAAATGAGTAGGATGTGTCCCTGCTCTCCAGCAGCATGTAATCAGTCCCGTCCCATTTGTACACTGATGGAGCCTCTCTAAGCCAAATCTGGTTTGCAAAATAATTCCTTGGTTACATAGCATTATTCTGGGACTAGAGCTTTTTATTTTATTTTCAATTTCAAAGAGCTGCTTTGTTATTACTGAATTTTAGCATTGAGCAGTAGTGGGAATACTTAGAGATCATTTAATCCTCACAGAGTTGTAAAGATTTAATGAGAAAACAAATCCACCCACATAGATAAAAAGTACAATGGCAAATAGTAAGTCCTCAATATATGGTAGTTCAACCTGAATATCATACACAGTGGGTGAAGAGAGACCCAGCACATGAAATGACTTGAGTGGTGGCACAAACCTAGTTAATGGTCAGGTCTGGTTTAGTGTTCAGGTCTCACTCTTGCTAGCTCATGTTCATTCATACCTTCTGCCTTAAAGGAAGTGTCATGATATAAAAGGAAGGCTTACTCAGTTAATCAGTAATTACTTATATACCCACTGAGTGCCTGTCACTCTGGTGAGTACACAGGACTATTCTCATAGGTGGGAGGAAGTTGGGAAAGGAGCAAGTTAGAGAGCAAGGACATCAGCCTATCTAGAGTGGAGAGCTATTAAGCTAGGGAGGTACCAGATAGGCAGGGTGGGGCTAAGTGGAACTCTGGGTTATGGAGGCCTGCCCTGTGTCTACATTCTATTTCCTTTAAGCGACAGCCTTTTGTTAACATAGCGTGGTACAAAGAATACAGCCACAGAAATTAGTTTTGGGTTTGAATTCTGGTTATTCTGACACTCTGCTCAAAACCCAGAGGCTTCTGCCAAAACCGGTTTGGCTCAGTGGATAGAGCGTCGGCCTGCGGACTGAAAGGTCCCGAGTTCGATTCTGGTCAAGGGCATGTACCTTGGTTGCGGGCACATCCCCAGTAAGGGGTGTGCAGGAGGCAGCTGATCAATGTTTCTCTCTCATCGATGTTTCTAACTCTCTATCCCTCTCTCTTCTTCTCTGTAAAAAAAATCAATAAAATATGTTAAACAAAACAAAACAAAAACAAAAACCTAGAGGCTTTTCATTTCGTTAAATCCAAAGTCCTTGCACTAGGTTATAAGGCCCTATACAATCTAGCTCCCCTCTACCTCTTTGGCCACGTTTGTTCTTTTTTCTTATCACACTGGCTTTCTCTCTGTTCCTCCATCACACCAAGTGCTCTTGCCTTGGGGACTTTGTACTTGATAGTCTTTCTGCTAGAAAGCTTCTCCCCCAGAATCTTAGATGGCTGGACCTTTTACTTCCTCAAAGATCTTTGCTCAGTGTTACTCGGTCAGAATCTTCTCTGACCACCCTGTATAAACTGGTACCCACTCCCCACCCCGCTATTCTAGCTCTGACCTGAATTTACTTTTCTTTATAGTACTTACAACAACCTGGCATACACTATTATTTATTCTTTCCCTTAAAATGTAAGTTTATTGAGAGTAAATGTTGTGACTGAACTCTGCACTGTACCTCCCCCACCCTTCACTTGTTTATACTGTCTGAGTCAACCACAGCAGAGAAACCCTGGTTTTAGTCTTTCTACCAAGGGACTGGGACCTGCCCAGTTCAGTCAGAACTATGCAAATAATATCCTCATTTGCATCTATACCAACCATTCATCACTGCATGATTTAGGCCAATCAGAACTGTACAATTTGGAAACCTCATTTATGTGAAACGGGCCAAAATGAGAGGTCCCAGGGTCTGTCCGAAAGTTCCAATCTTTTAATCATTTGGTCACTGTGGTGACCAGTCCACCAAATCTAAGGTTATTTAGAGGTCCCCCCCAAGTCACCTCATAAGCATAAACTTGATGTGCTCACAAGGGGCTCTTCATTAATAACAAAGGAAATCCTATCACTTAGGAAATCCCAAGGGTTTTAGGAGCTTTGTGCCAAGAACCAGAAACAAAGATCAAATACACTTTTTATTATGCTATATTGAGAATATAGCCCAATAACACATAGTAAATGTTCAGTAAATTTGAATGTCTGCTCTCTTTCATAAATTATATATATGGCTAGCCAGCCGATACCTTTAGTGATATCCTGATTCCCATTTGACTTAGATAAGAAAGAAATTCATGTGAAAAATGGTTTATAGCTTATATAATGCTGTGGTTTTATTTATTAGTTTATTTATTTATGTATTTAATTGATTGATTCAAAGAGATGAAGAGAGAGAGAGTTAGAAACATCCATGAGAGAGAAACATTGATCAGCTGCTCCTGCCCCTTCTGGGAATCAAGCCAGCAACAGGGCATGTGCCCTGACTGGGAATGGAATGGGCAGTCTCCTGGTGAACACTCAACCAACTGAGCCACACCAGCTGGTCATATAATGCTATCTTAGCAGAATGCAGTGATTATAGGGATTACATCTTCCTATAATCAAGTGAATCCTATATTTCCATTATAAAGTTATTTCATTTTTGCTAGAAAAACATAGTCTCAAAATAAGATAAAATCATAACTAAAAGTGCTATAAAACTGCCCTAGCTAGTTTTTCTCAGTGGTTAGAGCATCGGCCCATTGACTTAAAGGTCATGGGTTGGATTCCCAGCCTGAGACAGGGCACATGTGGGAAGCAACCGATGGATGTGTCTCTTTCACGTCGATATTTCTCTCTCTCTCCCTCTTCTGCATCCCTTCCACTCTCTCTAAAAATCAATGGAAAAATATCCTCAAGTGAGGATTTTTAAAAAGTGGAAAAAGTGCTATGAACCTAAATGTTCTTGACTTTAGAAATTTTGGATTCAAACATCCATGATATAGTGATTGTTTTGGCTAGGGAGAAGTAACTTGTGCATATTGCTAAGGACTGGATTGTTCAGTTGCCACTTAGGAGTAGAGTCACCCAACAATCAATTAGAAGACTTGCTTTTTTTTTTTTTTTTTAATATATTTTATTGATTTTGTACAGAGAGGAAGGGAGAGAGATAGTTAGAAACATCGATGAGAGAGAGTCATCAGTCAGCTGCCTCTTGCACACCCCCTACTGGGGATATGCCCGCAACCAAGGTACATGCCCTTGACCAGAATCAAACCCGGGACCTTTCAGTCCCCAAGCCAACGCTCTATCCATTGAGCCAAACCGGTCTTGGCAGAAGACTTTCTTTAATCATTGTTTCTTATCAGACTTAGAGACTGTCCACTAAAGAAAGCCCAGCTTAAGAAAAAGTCTTGTAGAAGAGTTTATTTGAGCCAAACCGATGAATTGCCAGAAAGCAAAATCTCAATGAATTGGGAAAATGCTCCAGATAATGGCAGTCTTACGGCTCATTATTACTTTTAAGAGTGCCCCTAGAGGCTCTAGCTGTTTAATTTTCATGTTTTGGGTAAACCATGTTTCTATATATTTAAACTGAATATTTTGGCAGAAGTCACTAATTAATAACAGGTGCCTCAGGGGCTTACAGTTTATTTTATACATTAGAATCAAAGGAGGAGACTTGGGGGGCGGGGTGGTTACGTGAAGTCCATTGTTGGTAGATTAGAGATGTGGGAGAAAGCAAAGCAGGGGAATCTCTGAAATTGGATAAAAAGTAAAACAGAGAGACACATGCTTATTTTACTTCGGTAGATACAGGATAGTTATATCAATTACAACACAAAGATGGAATATATCAGCACAGTAAGATAACAAGGAGAGGCTCAGTGGCCTCCTGTTCTGGTGCTCTGGTGTGATGGCTGTGTCCTGAGGGGTCTGGAAAAGGTCACTTTGACATTCCAAAGGTACGTTATTGTAGATGCAAAAAGACAATACATAGGAGACTTCCTATCAAGATGACAGTGTAGGTCAGTGGTCGACAAACTGCGGCTTTTGAGCTCCATGTGGCTCTTGGGCCCCTTGAGTGTGGCTCTTCCACAAAATACTATTTTGAAGAAGTGGCGTTAGAAGAAGTTTGAGTTTAAAAAATTTGGCTCTCAAAAGAAATTTCAGTCGTTGTGCTGTTGATATTTGGCTCTGTTGACTAATGAGTTTGCCGACTACTGTATACCAACCATCACTTAGACTTGATTAAACAGTTCAATGGACTTACTCTGACTTACTCCCTCTGTGTTCCAGTTCCGGAGGCCGGCAGCTTGAAAGGCAGCAGGGACATGAGGGGAAGAACTGAATTGTTTGTTATCAGGGTAAAAGCTGGGGTGGGTGGCTTTCTGTCACACAAAAGTGCTGGCAGAGGCCATTGTTCCTTTCCTGAGACCCCCATTCCCCTCCTCCTAGAGATGACACTGAGGTTTCAATCTCTCTTTCCCTCTCCCTTTCCCTCTGAACTCAGATAAAAAATATATTAAAAAAATAAATAAAGGTTATTACATTATTATCGAGTGCCATGGGAAATTTAGAAGTTCTTTGAGGGTGATGAACAAAACCACCACCCTCCACTTAGAGATTTAGTTACTCTATAGACAAAAGTGAACCCCGAAATTAGTTTAATATATATCTCAATTATTTTCTCTCATTGATGTTTCAGAGAGGAAGGGAGAGGGAGAAAGGGAGAGAAACATCAATGAGAGAAAATAATTGATCTGCTGCCTCGTGCACACCCCTTACTGAGGATCAGTCCGCAGCCCTGCATGTGCCCTGACCAGTGTACCCTGATCAGGAATTGAACCGTGACTTCCAGGTTCATAGGTCAATGCTCAGCCACCAAGCCATGCTAGCTGGGCAGGAATTTAGTTTCAAAGGGAATGTATAATATATGTATATGCCAACGTTTTGATCATAGCAATGTCTCTGTTAGTTGCACATATTTGTTCAGGATGTAGAAAGAAACTGGTGATCTTAGATGTAGGGTGCTCATGATGAATCTATTTTTTTTTTTTTTAACAAGTCTTTCTCCTCCCTCTCTGCAGCTGTTCAGCTAAAGAATTTGATGAGCCAACTAGAAACTAAGCAGGACTCCGCCAAGCTACAGGAAAATCTGTGAGTAGCTTCCTAACAAGGCTGGGTTTTGTGAGGGTCCTTCAAGCACACACTTAAAGTCAATGCTGATGGCAGCTTGGGTGTCGGGCCTATGAAGTCAGAATGAGAGGCAGTGGGACATGAGGTAATAGCTGGATCTAAAAGAGGAGCAACAAAATATATTAATGGATTGTGATCTTCCCTGCTTCTTCAAGTCCTTGATCTCTGGCTCTTTCTTCTCCTGGGCAGTTGAGCAGAAGAGCTTAGGGAAGTAAAGAAGAGAACCCTACTTCTCTTAAACTGTACTTTATCTAAATGAGCCATCTGCAGAGCTCATCTCATCTAGTTGGATTTCCCAACTATGTACATGATTAGAAAAATGTATTCGGAATGATCCCAGGGGAGTCTGAGAGAATAGTAGACTGGTAGTAGGCACATATGATTCTTTTAAAAACATATTTTTTTATTGATTTCAGAGAAGAAGGGAGAGGGAGAGAGAGATAGAAACATCAATGATGAGAGAGAATCATTGATCGGCTGTCCCCTATTGGGGATTGAGCCCACAACTTGAGCACGTGCCCTTGACTGGGATCAAACCAGGGACCCTTCAGTCCGTAGGCTGATGCTCTGTTCACTGAGCCAAACCAGCGAGGGCTGATTCTTTTGATCCCATCCTTCTTGAGTACGTTTCTGCTTTTTGAAGTTCTATTCTTCATCTCTAAAAGATACTGAGTTATGTTCTTTATTTCATGTTCTAGACTTTGTGAAATGAGAGAATAACTTACTACATTGAGCATTTTCCCGGGAGATGTGAATTGTCTCTGGATATGTTAGTCCTGTGTGGGATGTTCAGGCTCCTGATGGACTCCCTCTTGTTTTTGACTCTCTTATATTTTTATCTTGGAGATCCCTTTGCAGTGAAAAAACATTAATAATTAGTAGTGTGGTTTCTCTGTCCTCCCTTAAAACCTTTGTAGAAATGGCCAGATAGAGGAAATCTTGACTGAGAGGAGCTCTTTTTATATTTCCACTTTTCTTTTTTCTTAAAATGTTTTTATTGATTTCAGAGAGGAAAGGAGAGGGAGAGAGAGATAGAAACATCACTGCTGAGAGAGAATCATTGATTGGCTGCCTCATGCACATCCCCTACTGGGGATCTAGCCTGCGACCCAGGCATGTGCCATGACCTCCTAGTTCATAAGTCAACACTCAACCACTGAGCCACACTGGCCCAGCTATTTCCATTACTTTTATTTTTTTATTATTTTTCTTGTGTGAACATATTTAATTTTTTTTCCTTATTTTTTTTTTTTTTAATTTCCACTAGTTTTAACTTCCACCTAATATATTATACTAGAGGCCCAGTGCACAGATTCATGCCATGGTGGGGTCTTTCAGCCTGGCCTGCACCCTCTCGCAAGCCAGGACCCCGGGGGAATATAGTAATATGCAAAGTGGCAGGCGCTGGGCCTGGGTTTGATTCCAGTAGCTCTGGGATTTTGTTGTGAACCCAGGCATGTAGGAACCTATTTCTTCACGTACCCTTTCATTCCCTGCGTTGTGAGACACTCTGAGAATAAGCTGATACTAACTACAGCAGCTCACGAGAAGTGAGGATATTCTGAAACTATCTTTTCTCTCTTAGGCAGCAGTTGCAACACTCTACAAATCAGCTTGCCAAGGAAACAAATGAATTACTGAAGGAATTAGGGTCCTTGCCACTCCCCTTATCTACTTCAGAACAGGTAGGTATTTTCTGTTTTGTGTTTTAATAAAAAAAAGGACTTTGTTTTAATAGAAATACAGTGTGTGAAACAAAAATAACTTGGCCTTTTGTGCTAGATAGACCTTATCAGTAAAATGGGAGTATGTAGCCATTGTGACAAGAAAAAGAATGTGTGCACCAGATCTTGCAAATTGCCTGGCATTCAGTCGGTACTCAATATGTGGTGGCTGCTATTATGATTAACAAGAACATATTAATATACTAATCCTAATAAAATAGGTTTAACCGAAGAGGAAGCTCAGCACAGTAGTTTTACGTTTTCAGGCTTCATCCGAGTTTGTTTTGTATCTAGTATCTGTATATTCCAATCACATGTCTTTACATTTTTCCTTCGCTCTCACATCCCATTGCAAGACTTTCATAGGTCTCAGGGTGAGGAAATGCTCAGGAAAAAAAGACTTCTCTTTTCAAGTATTTTATTCAGTGCCATTTAAATCCTTAGAAACACACACTTTCTATAGGGATTCATTGTTTCGTTGCTCTTCCCTGCCTCTGTTCACATTTACATGAAGTCAGATGTGCTCCCTCCCTGTGGCTCTCACTCTTACCTGTCATTCATGATCTACCTCAGATTCTCTCTCTTCCAGGGGAAAAAACCTTCACTTACCTAAGCCTGTTGTGAGTCCATTTTGTTTAACTTTAAAAAAAAATGATCTTTACCCATTTTTTTACATTTTAGGCACTTTTAAATTATATATGATTTCAGAGAGGAAGGGAGAAGGAGAGCATAGAAATAGAAACATCAATGATGAGAGAGAATCATTGATCTGCTGCCTACTGTATGCCTTCCACTGTGAATCAAACCCACAGCCTGGCATGTACCCTTGACTGGAATCAAACCCAGGACGCTTCAGTCCACAGGCCAATGCTCTTTCCACTGAGCCAACCAGCTAGGGCTGCTTTTAACTTTTATACCATTCAAGGGGGCACTTACATTACTTATTTAAAAAAAATTTAGATAGAGGTGGGGGAGAGATATATCAATTTGTTGTTCTACTTATTTATACATTCATTGGTTGTTTCTTGTATGTGCCCTGATCAGGGATTGAACCCACTACCTTGGTATATCGGATGATGTTCTAATCAACAGAGCCTACCCAGCTGGGGCCTATTAACGAACTTTTTAAAAGATGATTTCTTATCTGTAATGGCCCTAAAGATAAAGTCTACAACTTCCCTATCCAGGGGTTGTCAGTGAGTTGTGGCTATTGGAACATAAAATAATAGTGTGTTGTTACTATCATTTTGACATAGAGTAGAAATAGAGGGTGTTGTTGTTACATGAAACTTGTTTCATATATGTGTGTGTTTGTGTGTGTGTGTGTGTGTGTGTGTGTGTGTGTGTGTGTGTATATATATATATATATATATATATATATATATATATACTGGATCAAGATGTCGCAGTGTTACTGTGTGTCTCCATCAAAAAAGGTTTGAAGATCACTAGTTTAATCTATACCTGGCAAGCTGTTTAATGAAGTGTATGTTCAGTCTTTGGAGTTTTGGTGCCCCTTGCACAAAAGAGAAGATGCTTTCTCACCCTGCTACAAAGAAAAGATAGAAGATAATCTTCATGTACTCATTCTTTGATTATCTGTATGTGTGCTGTTTTAGTGGTTACTCATGCTGATATTTCAGTATGGACAAAGTTCCATCCAATATCTCTAAATTGTTTCAAAATTGCCCCTCTTTTCCTCCCAACTGTGCACTTAGAGAATACACTCTTGTAGATAATCTTAGTGATAAAAAAGGAGTCTAAGGGTCTGATGCAAACAGAGCATTGAAAGTACTTAAGAAATAAATAGCAGCCTAACCAAAATATAATTAGGAAGTCAACTCTGCTAACAAACAAACAAGCAAAAGGATCTAATGCATTCCAAATCAGTTAGAAGTTATTTTTGGATTATACATGTGTATGTTCCCTTTCATTATTATGGATCATAAAACACAAAATAGACCTACAAACATACTGTTTCTAGTGAAATATAATTCCTTGATTTCCCTCCTCCTATTATGCTGAGTACTCTTTTTCTTTCTAATTAATCTTGGCCACATTACCCATCTTGTGCTACTGTCCTATGCCTCAAGCCATTTACTCTACTTTTCGGTATTTTTTTCAGATTTATGTACTATCATCAGTGATTATTTAGTTGCTAAATCCAACGGCCTTTTTGGTTCTTACACTTTTCTTCTCTGATTCACTGATCCTCTTGCCCAGCCTGTCTCCACTGAAACCTTTCTCCTTTCTTCTTCCTTTCATTCTGTCCCTCAATTCTGGTGAGCCTTTTCGGGCTTATTTTCTTCCTTTTTTTTTTTTAAATATATTTTATTGATTTTACACAGAGAGGAATTGAGAGGGACAGAGAGTTAGAAACGTCAATGAGAGAGAAACATCGACCAGTTGCCTCTTGCACACCCCCCACCGGGGATGTGCCCGCAACCAAGGTACATGCCCTCGACCGGAATTGAACCCAGGACCCTTCAGTCTGCAGGCCGATGCTCTATCCACTGAGCCAACCCGGTCCCGGCTTCGGGCTTATTTTCTCTAATCCCAGGTTGTGTCTCTGCCTCCTTCTCTGAGTCTGTTGCTTCCTAGAATGGTCGTGCTCTGCCATCCATCGATCCTGTCATTTTCTCACTCTGCTTTCCCCCTCAGG